AAAAATGACAATAAAACCTTAATTAATATTGTTGTGACAATTTAAGTTTATTAATGGAGAAGTATTTAAACAATACATTTAAATGTCTCATTTTGGTAATCCAGGAAATTTGATTTTCTACTTTTCGTGGCAAAATTTTGTTGATTAAATTAATCAATAAAATTATAGGTATCAAATTCTCTTTCAACGCAACACTGTTGTCTTTTGATTTATAAAAGTTATTTCCCAGTATTCCACCTATGGATGTGATAGATTTAGTAGATTTCACCCTAACTCGGAAACAGGTTAACTCATTGATGAAACAAGATTTATTAGATTGCTTAATAGTATCTTTAGACCAAAATTATTTTGAATTTAATGCACAAATTTACATCTCTCAGGAAGGTTTGATTATGGGAAACCCACTTAGTCCTTTGTTAGCCGAGATTTTTATGGATAATTTGGAAAATATCACACTAGAACATCCTTTAAGTAAAAGTTTTCTATTGTGCTATAGATACGTGGATGATGCCTTTGCTTGCTCAAAAATCAGGTGTCTACCGATCGAAATGCCGATCTTGTCCTAAAATTTATATTGGACAAACAGGTAGATCCTTCAAGAAACGCATTAACCAACATAAAAGAGCGTTTAAACACAATAGTCTACATTCTAATTATGCTACACACTTAAACACAGAAAAACACATTTTTGACTACATTGTCGATACAGCCACAAAAAGTAGAAAATTAAATTTACTAGAAGTCATGGAGATTAAAAAAGTGAGAAATTAGACTTAAATATCTCTATATTATTAAAATTAAATTCTCACTACAACATTAATTAAGGTGTTGTCGAAACAATTATCATGTGAAAATATATAATTTCGTGAAAATCTGAACTTTTAGTTCTTATTTATTTTCTCAAGTTTTAAGTAAAGTCTCCCAGAAGGTCTGCAGGGTGCGAAATTTTGTTGAGGATTCGTTTAATCCCAAGTAGATTACATGGAGGGTTTTCTCACTGATATTACTGCAAAAAGGAATAGGAAGCAAAATATATACTGACGATGCGCGAATCGTTCAGTTGACAGAGCTAAGCTGAAACTGGCTCCCATTCTACTTTGTACCTGCTTATAGATTCTGGGACTTTTCGTCGGTAGAAGAATTGGTTACATGCAAGAATTTTAGTTTCATCGAATTAGTTGATATTTTTCGTCCCGTCTCTCCGATGTAATCTTTGCCGCATATGCGTGGAGTGCTATAAATTTCAAAAAATTTGATATACCAGAACTCAAACGGAATTTTGTCTTGGACGGATCGAAGAAGTTGAGAGTTTCTTGAGTTGAGTTTATATCCCTTGACTTTATATCCCTTATGAACTTTTGTAATGTTATCTTGGATGTTTTCAATGTAAGGAAGGACAACAGTGGCAAGTGTGAGGTTGATTTCGAACTCATTGTCTTTGCAAGGTTGTTGTGAATTGTACTGCGTTTTAATTCTTGATTCAACAAGTATAGATGGCAAATAAAAGAAGCCCAAGCATCGAACCTTGTGGAACACCATACGTAATTTTTTCTGCAAATGACGCAGTTTCCTTAAACTCAACATATTGAAATCTGTGACTGGTTTGAGAATAATCAATTCACTTTTATCAACGGCTTTTATCAGCGGCTCCAAAGGTCATCTGTAACATATTCGCAGTTTGGTACGAGAAGGATCTTTTCAATGCTGCGCTACAGTAAGGAGACTCCGTCTACCAACATTCAAATTGTGGACATCCATTGGAAATGTCATTTTGTTGTAGAGATAGGACGGTGTCGCACATTAAATGATTTGGCAACAGGACGTTAAATTTATATGAATTTAATGTATTCATGAAGCATGACCTAACCAGGTTTTGAACTTTACTTCTCTATATGGTATAAGTACGCTGTTATACTTCGATCAGAAATATAGTGTTTTTACAACCGACCCCGTGATTAACTTTGTTTATTACTTTAAAACCGCAGCCCCTTATAAAACACCCGCCCGAGCAGACCCTTATCCCATCCCCGGACCTCCTAATTACATCTGCGTGTTGCTCTTTAAAAACTCGCGAAGTATCAGCATCTTCTCCCACATTCCTCTTGAGTACCCTATTTGCAACAATTTTTCTTAGAGTTGCTCCTACTTCCCCTTCTGAATTTCTTATACAATTGTAAAGATTGAAGACAAATGGATCTTCAAAAAAGTGTTTAATTGCAAGTTTGTAATAAATATTTATATGTATTCTTATGATTCAACTTTATCTATCGGGAATATAATCTATTGGCTTAGAAAAAACTGTTGTTTACAAATCGAAAAACTATGTAAAAGACACAAAAATACAAGAAGAAGAATATGAAATGAAATGAAATGAAAAATGATTATTTTCAAACACATTTGTAAGATAAATAGAGTAAATACCTTTGGAACTATCCAGTGAAAACAGCCTCGCAGGGTTAAAGCTCGAAAGTCAGGTACATAAATACGTACCTACTGGAAGGATTACAGTCAAATACCTCCGTAACAATATATACCTCGAACTTGCTTGTCACGTGCTCTATAAATTTTAGCCGATATTCTAGAGTAAGTCTAATACATTTGCAACTACTAGAAAAGTGCAGAACAGAGTCCTTTATAGAAAATTTTACGTTGCTTTTTATATTATCAATTTCAATGTCATTAGCACATATTATAAGCATATGTGTTCAGCGACAGATTCTCGAATCTCATAATTACGATAATCACAAAACACACCTGCAAGTATATAGAGACAATTGGTCAAACCGCAACAAGAACATAATATTTATAAGCATTGAACATGACTTATTTTAACGATGTTCCAATTTTTATTACATATATTCAAGTCATTTTGATTTATTTTTATATAAATTTCTGTATATACTACTACTAATATTTACATACGTTTGAAAATTTTAATTATGGAAAAGATATGTAGATGATGTTTTTGGTTTCTGACCACGCTACCAGAAATCTCTTCAATCCTTTACTGACACATCCTTATACTGATCGATACCCAAATGCAAGATCACATCGCCATCGTGATTGTATAGTTTTCAAAGCAATACGAATCTCCTAATCAGAAAGTAACACATTTTACCTCAGTTCTTCTCTCAAACAATTGACTTTGACCAGATATCATAAGTTCGATCAAAAACTACACTTCACCAGAACCACTTATACAAATTCACTTCTAAATTCTGGAAAAATCATCATCTACGTTCGGGTAAATATAAAATTTCTCTCTCTCTCGAGAGAGATAAACAGTATGTAGTGCAGCTGTGGCAAAGAATACATCGAACTTCAGATCTCAGATCAGACTGAAAGAACACCAGCGCTCAGTCAGACTTAGATAAATAACATCAGCAGATTGTGATTGTGTTATGTGTATTGTCCATTTGTTTACTTTATTTGCGATTTGTGTTCACTTTGACAGTTGTTTATGACCAATATCCATGGTCGATTTGCAGCATATTGAAAAAATTGAGAATCTTGAACATGTAGAAAATGAAAGGATTAATCATAATAGATACAACAGCGTAAATCCGTATGAATTGAATGTTATTTAACAATTAACAATTGGTTGGGTTATCAGACAAAGTTTTGTGCAGATTTCTAATCAGTTGGGGCCGTTTATAAGGCTCCAAGGAAGCGCTATTGATTTACATATATCGACGATAGTGAAATAAAATTTGATCTGTATTTTATTCAAATACATCCTTTTCTGCAACGACGAATGTGAGTTCAACTATATCCATAACTATTTATTTCAAGGTTCTAATTGCATTTCATTTCTTCTTATTTGAAAATTGTAAAATGGACATATGGAACAGTTTATTTCTGTATTTCTGTATTATTTTTTAACGAATTCTAACGAAATTAATTAAGTACGACTTAAGTAAGTAGTGCTGCTACAAATTTATAATCATAATGGAGTTTAACGTATTATAAACTATTTTTAACTTAGATTTGTATGTAGCTTCATTGTGATTTTATTGAAATACAAAATATCTGAATACATTCTGTTGTATTGCGTACTGTATAATTTTAATTATATAAACAATAAATAAAATTAGTCGTCAGAGTAGTTTGAATCTGTGCTATCACTATTATTCAATGATATAATCAATAGTTTTGCGTCGTCTCAAGTTTTTTAATAAATGTTTTCCACTTCAAGTACATGATTAAGATGTTATTACCAAATGCTCTCTGGTATCAATTGACAATGTGTTTTAATTACATATAATTTTCAAAAAGTTCACTTATAGGATGGTAGTCTAATGAGCAGTCTTTAAAGTTTTGTGCTGAAGCTAACCAAGCGGTTGGTATAAAATCATCCTTCGAGTTACAGTGTTCCTCTGGATGCAGCTACATTCAAAATGCATTTCGTTATTGCTCCGTTTATCGAAGTTAAAGGGCCTAACATTCATGATAGACCAACATCATTCTGTCTTCATTTTTGAATTGGACCATCAGTAGTTTTGAAATCTTTAAACAGTTTAAAAAGTTGGACACCCGGTGCAGAATAAATTGCATAAAACTTTTCATCTTTCTCGAATGGTTTTAATCTGTAGGTAAGTTCACTTATAGGATGGTAGTATAATGAGCAGTCTTTAACGTTTTGTACTGAAGCTAACGAAGCGGTTGGTATAAAATCGTCCCTCGAGTCACAGTGTTCCTCTAGATGCAGCTACATTCAAAATGCATTTCGTTATTGCTCGGTTTATTTAAGGTTAAGGGATGATGGACCAACATCATTCTGTTTTCATTTTTAAATTGGACCACCAGTCGTTTTGAAATGTTTAAACAGTTTAAAAGGTTGGACACCCGGTGCAGAATAAATTGCATAAAACTTTTCATCTATCCCGAATGGTTTTAATCTGTAGCTATCATATCAAGGTCGACTACTTAATAACAATAATCTATTGCCGTACATGCACCGGATATACAGCGGGTATTGTCAAAATGCCGTGTTATCCAATTTTCGCTAGAAAAGAACGTTTAATGGGTAAATATATAAACTTTTCGAAATTGCGACGCCATATAGGTACTTTGGTGTCGTTAAGATGTCGCGTCTTTTAGCTATCGTTGCATCGTTCCTGATTTGCGGCGGCGCAGTAAGTTAGACACTAGATTTTTTTTGGTGAAAAATATTTCAGTTTCGCACTACTTCTACGGATTTTTACAATGAAAATATGACTTTTTGCGAAATAGCAACGGTACAATTTTTTTAAAAATTATTGTAATAAGCTGATAAACAATAAATTTAGTTCCCAAAAGTTAGTACTGAATAAAATAATCAAATATTACCCTGTTGACGGGCCTGTCGAAGACACGGGAGTGAATCTGTATATTATCATTATTATACAGTGTGTTATGTCTTTAACTCTGTTGTTTAGTGGTGGATGCAACTATTTGTTGCAGTTTTAATTCACTTTGTAGTGGTAATAAGACCGCTGAAATTGTTTTTTCATGTTTAAGCGTATTGAACGCAGGGTTGCACGATTTGGCAACCCGGCACTCCTTATTGTTATTATTTATAATAAGCAGCTTTACTGGTTTAAAGATTATTAAAATTATAATTTTGATAATTATAATAAAAGTGACAGACATCTGGCACAGCCAGATACTGTTAGAGCTTAAAATTCAGCATTAAATTAACAAGGGAACAGGCAACTCACGCAGTGGGGGCGTGAGTTAATTAAGAACAAGGAAGTATCTAATTAAGGGTTTATTAGGTAACAAAGAAAATCAAATCTTGCTAGTATGCATATCGCTTACAAACAAGGCAATTTTTAAAGTTATTTTTTTGTGCCATCAGAGAAAAATCTGTTGGACACTTTAATAAATTAATTAATTTTGTTCCGATTTTTGTGTTACGTAAATATTATGATGAATAGTTCTTTACGAGCGCATTCTCTACACCTTATGTGTGACTTATGACAGCCTTCTTCAAAACTACTAAAAGATACCTTCAGACTATCACCCGAGGTTTACCACTTTCCTAATTAATGAAATAAAAAATAGAAAGATTAATTCGGAAATTCAGCAAATATCTATAATATTAACGGGTACAACACGGAAGGATGTTGCTGAAAAAGACTGGATTGAATGGCAAGGAACTTAAATGTGTTGTAATCAAACAGCCTACCATATTGTCCAATACAGAGCAACAAAGTAATGCCACTGCTATAGAAGGACATTGACAAAGGCAACCCAAGAAATGTTTGAAGCATTTTAGACATGAGATTTACGAAGATCTCGTGAGTGAACCGTGGATCTATCAATCTAATCATTTTGCATAATTCGGTTTGCATCTAATAACAAATGATTTCCATGATGATATACAGTGTATGTTTTGTTTCCGAAAAGCACTGTAAAACAGGTTATTCAACAGTCACATTTATATCAGCCGACATGTGTTTGATATGTACCTCCATAAATGCATAAATTATTGATTAATGGGTTAAAAAATAATTTTCGCAGGACGGTTCCTCAAACGCCAAGACAATATGCTTTGAGATACACCATACAAGCAGAATATTTTAATTTGTATTTTATGTATTTATTATTAGATGCATTATTATGATTTGAAATATTCCAGGTAAGCGGACAAATAGACCTGATGAGTAAAGTCCGCAGCGATGCCGTCGAAAAATGCCTGAAGGATACCGGCGTGAGTTTAAAGGACCTGCTCAATTTCCAGGAAATGAGCTCGTTGGGTGAAAAGGAGATGTGCTTCGCAAAATGTCTATCGGAGACTATGGGCCTACTCGGGGCAGATGGGGAGTTAAATTTTGACGAGATTAAGGTAAATGTTATGATGTAGCAAGCGCATAATACGAAGCGAAAGGTCTCAACATGTGTTTCAACCACTCAAGTGCTCATATTCCGGTAAACAAATGACATATAGTCACCATCTCCACTCTAGGTATTAGGCATTAATGCCTGTTACCTTTCTAAGGTCTGCCTCAGCATCCATAGCATTCGGTGCTCATCTTGTATACATGTTGTTTCCATTTTTTCTGTTATCTTTAACCGTTCCGTTTATCTCATATATTTTAAGTGCTTTCCTGATGTCTTTATTTCTTATTTGGCCTCTCTTTTGCAGCAGTTAACTCTTCTTATTTCTTCTTGATTTCTATCTTCATTGCGTATGTTTCCTGGTTTTGTATTTTAACGTTCTTGTGCTCATTCCGGATATATGGGCATATTTATTTAGTTTTGTTCGATGTCGTGGTTATAATCATAAGAGACACTTCTTATTTGTTCCAAAATATTAGCATGTTTATTACGATTATTTTATTTTTGAACATATATGTTATGTTCCTATAAAGGTCAGATAAAGACGTAACATTCTGGGAAAATATGGGGCTATGCATTGCCTTATACAGACATCTAATAGTTCCAACGGAATTCCCACAGTGTATAAAACTTATTTCCTTTTAAATATTCTGTATCTGCCTAAAACCTCAGTTTTTAGTTGCTCTTCAAATTCTACAAATATTACAGGAATGATTAATGTGATAATAAATTAATTGATCAACAATTAATAACTATATCCTATTGGGTTTGCTGTTTAGTTAAATTTGTGGAGGTCATTTCTGGTCGTTTTTAGACCATGATTTTGCCTTTCCATCTTGGTTTCTCCTAAAAAGTCCAGAATATTGTGTTTTTTTTTTCTGGACACATAAGATATTCTAAGCATTATCTTTATCTTTATCTTTAGTGAATAGTCCCAAGTTTCATCAGGATTAAGTTATTTTTCTTATAACCGTATTGCCGGCGTAACGCAGGTGATTAATGCATATCATCCGCGGTATCTTCCAAAGCTTTCCTGAAGAGCTCATTAAGTAAGGTGTAGCTATGGATATTTTTATACCCAACACAAAATTTATTGTACCTCTTTGGTGATTTATCAATCGGTATAGAATAGATCTGAATAGATCTGATAGATGTTATTAAGAACTCTTGTTTCATAGTTATGTATCTCATTAGAAAATAAAACTTTGATTACTGGATAACTTGACCTCTAAATGATGAATTTCGTCAAGCAATACCTCAAAACTAACTATGTGAAAAGCCTTTCTCGGGTCCACGAACACTGCAACAATTATTAATTATTATTATACAAGGTGGGTCAAAAAGTAGATGTCGATATCAAGTTCCCTTTTTTTAAATGGAATACCATTTTTTCGAATCTCTTACTTTTTATGAGCAAAAGTAACCAAAACCAACGGTTCAAAAGCCTTTCCGAAACATTACTCAGGGTATTTTTATTAATTTGCCTCATTTGGTAACTGATACTAAATTTTGTGGTTTTTCCTTTTCGACGTTGGATTCTAAGTATCCTCATAGTAAAAAATCCGGTAGAGTGATATCTGGAGATCTTGCGAGCCATTCTATTGATCCCCTTCTATCAATCCCAACCAAGAAACTGCGAGAGCAACTTTTGAAAATATTCTCTACAAGAATTTTACTGCTTGCAAAACATCTGGACTCCTCTTGACCCAGTTTGTATATATTTTTTCTAAATTTTGCTTGCTGTTGATCTTATAATGAGTCTTTTTAGATATTTTGGGCCAAACAAATGACAAACTTCTTCTTGAGTTATCGTGTTTGTTTTAATTTCTTTTTCATATATCTACAAGTTTCATTTAGATACGCCACATTTACTTTCTTCACTGAAAATAACATTATTCTTTGGCATTAGCTACTAACTGTTCACTTCAAAATAAAATGTATGTTTTTTTTTTATTTTTTTGGTCTTAAAAAGTAAGAGATAGGTCGGTATGCTCGGACTTCATTCGCGATCGTAGTTTTCTTATGGATGAATTTCGTGAAGGTCGTCCAAAATTGGTGGTTGTCCAAGAAAACTGATTCTGCAGGATCGTCATGTGATTTACCATGAAACTCTCGGCATTATTGGCCTTTAAAAAAATTTGTTCTCGTTGGATTCCACGCCTTTTGACATCAGCTCAAAAAAAGGCTCGTGTTGATTAGTCGAAGGAACTGCTAAAAAAATATGATCGCGGTGCAGCAGTCGACTGTGTGGGTCTTTCAGAATGAGACAAAGCACACAAAAGTTGTTCGTGCGTGAAGCATCTCGAAACAAATGGTAGCCTGTTTTTTTAGGAAAACTGGCCATGTTGCAACTGTTTCTTTGGTGAATGGTAAAACAGTCAACACAACCATTTGTTTGCCAAAGGTCTTCGAAGAAATTAGAAAAACCAACCGCCGAAGACTCTCCACGACGATCAGTGCAAACAAAGGATTTTTTGAGCATTCACCATATAATCCTAAAAGCAATTGATGCGTTTAAAAAGCATAATATTTTGGAGGTGCCCGACTCGATGTGGGAAAAGTCCTTTGAAGATTCGTTTTATCGAATGCAAAGGTGTATTGATTATCAGGGTGAATATTTTGAGAAACAATAAAGTCATATTTGTTGGTAGCTTATAATTTCTTGTGTTAGATATGGAGATTGACGAATTTTTTTGTGCTTAAAATTTGACTCAGAATTAGATTTAAAAATGGTGTTCTATTTAAAAAACAGGAACTTAGTATCGACAAATACTTTTTCCATCTACCCTGAATATTTTCTACTAATTATGATGGACGTGTGCGAGCATTGTAGCATTATAGCATGAAGTCTCTTGTAGCACTTATCAGCACACAATCCTTAATAAAATTAATAAAGAAAATTGACTTTAAAATTGGGCCAAAATTTAATGGTTTTTATAAAAAAAAATTTTTACATTAAGCTGGTACGGAGGAGGACAAGGTTGTTTCTTTTCTCTCGAGTTTGACACTCCACAATTGAGAGATGGAGTATTATTGGCATTTTCTAGTCGAAATGTTTTGCGTTCACGTTTTAGGCCATTATTCCTGCCGGTATAGATGCGGAAGTGGAAAAGAAAGGTGAAGAATGCGCGAGGGCCGTAGGAAAAATATCGTCGTGCGCCGACATGGGTAAACTTTTCCAATGTTATCCCCAATAATAAAGCTATCGTTCCGGACTTGTATTTTTCGGTTACTGTATACGGACTAAGTAGAAATAAAGGTCTAACCGAATATTGTAGCTTATTGTTTTGAATTTTACGCTTTATTTGGCCACTGTTTCATAAGGCAATTCGGAAAGCTTACAACCAGGTTAGAACTTATAAACAAATTTTTAACGATTACAACACCCAAGGCACCTGGTGAGAATCGAAACCACAACCTTCGGCAAGTTGAGTTGGCAGGTCTTACCAACCGAGCCATCGTCGGTCCCAATATATAGGTTCTACTTCTTCTTCTTTTACTTTTACTATTGGCCACGACTGCTAGGATTATTCGGCCAAATATATAGGCTAATTACTAATTACATTATTTTGTTCGGTTTTGTGTTACGATTGTTCACTGTGTGCCAATTTGATCGCGACTGAGTTAGTAAGGATAGAGCCTTGCGTTTTCGCAAATCTTTAGTTCTTTTTTGTGATGACGTTACAATATCTAGCTTTTCGTTTATGTTTTTTAATAATATGTAGGTCATAAAGGTATGTGAAATATTGCAAGTAAAATGTCGATGTATTTAAAAATTGCATTTTTTTTGTCGGGTTTTTTTGTGTTATCCTGTATGCTTTAAAATAAATTCAAATTGTGCACTCTAACCATTTGTACAACTTTTAAACTGTACTTCTAAGGAGTGATTCAGGAATGAAGCCATAGTTTTCGTAATGCACAAGCAAAATATAAGTAAATCATCACCACAATTGCTTCTAAATGACAATATTTTTGTTGGAACACATGCTTAACTACATAACTTTTAGCGCAAACCAGTAAAGCCATGGTCAATATAATTAAATAATTCTGTAGTTTGTAGAGGCCTAAACAGGGTGATCCATTACATTTTTTATAATACATTTTAGCATTTAATGTGCAGACTTAATATTACTTTTATATCTAGGAGTTATATCTTTTAAAAACTTTACCTTATTAATTACTCTGCAAGAAAACGTATACAACCCCATTAGATGTGCGGATCGTCAACATGGTATCTAAAATGTAACACACAAAATGTTACACAGGGAGAGACATATAAAATAATAATAAAATAAATGTAAAACAAATTAAGAAATATACATATTTCACATTTAAAATATTCTTCCACTGAATGGAACATTTTCCCGTGTGTTTTGTTTCAAATAATTTTAATAGGCATTTTAAACCTATATAGTTTAGATCTTTCTGTCCCACGTGTAATCTCGAAAACAGCTTTTCATTCCTAATGTTTGATTCAACATTATCAAAAATTTGGAATACAGACAAGGAAAAGTGAATATTTTTTGAAATAATCTCTACAAGAACTTTTAAAGGACACTTCCACAGGCTACTGTAATACTATTTACAAAACTTCTGGATTCCTCCTGCGTCGAACTTGTTGACGTTTCGTCAATCATCCTATTGGCGTCTTCAGACATTAACCAAAATATATTAATTTCAAAATATCTATGTCTCTTATATACAACATGAGCTTAATTTTCAGATAATCAACATGAGTAGCCCATGTGTTGTTGGACAAACGTGTTTTAACGATTTTTTATCAGTTTTCAATAGAATGCTAGACTTTATTTTTCCATTGCCACGGATTTATTTACCCCAATCTGAATCATTTCCATGATTGGTGCTCCCTTTGTCTTAATGTTTCGTTTTGGTTTTCCCAGTATTACAACTTTGGAATCGTCACAGGGAGTTGTGTGGCAGTTAGAGGTCTCGGACGTTTCAAAACAATTGCGAAAAACTTAAGTAGGTTGTTTAAAATAAAGAGCAGTTTCTTATATAAACGATGGGGCAAAGGCCAACCATTGGGGAGATATCGCTCTACAAATATTGCGGAAAAATAATGTTTTAATACACGAAAATGGCTTACCATTATAAAAATATTTTCTGTTTTTAGAAAATTAAAGTAAATGAAGGCGATTAAATTAGACTACACCTATCATTCTTCTTTACTAAATTTAAAGAAAAAAATTTCGATGGATTTGATTAATGATTTGTTTTTCTTCTGTTTTTTTTTTTTCAAAAACAGTTTTCAAATAAAACACAATTAGAAAACTAATTTGGGTTCCGCTTGCATTGCTATTGTTTTATCTTTTATTTGGAAACTAAATAAAACATAAAATTAAAAAATATATTTTTGTAAATGTCATTGTGTGAATTTGTCCTTGAATTTTCTTAAGAGTAATGATATTAATGTAATGTCCTCCACTCATATAAAAATATGCTGAGAGTGTGTTTTTATAGTAGCAGTAACAATTCCTTTTTTGGATTTATTGCGTTTTGCTTAAGGTAATTAAGTTTACATTATTTTATAAATCTAATAAAACTTAAAACTTTAGTGAAATATTTATATAATTAACAAAAACATAAAAATATACAGTTTAATATGTAAACCAACATCTACTAAACAGTAAAAGGTATTTTCAGCTTTATCTTGTTGCTTTCAAAAAATCGAATTTTTCGAAAATATCTACGTTCTTATAAAAATTTTACATCTTGGTACCGGTAGGTCTTATGGGAACGCCATTGATACAGAAATAATCAGCGTCAAAAAAAATTTTTTTTTTGTTGGATTGTCTGTTCTCCGTTCTTGTCTTTTGGTTTTTCCTGAATAACTTTAGAACCATTGAAGCTACAAAATTGAAATTTGCCTCCTTTTTCACCGTCCACTAGATACATAAGCCTGTAAGAAATAACCTCGATCCTACGCCGGCATTGATCTTTTTTTCGCGATTTTCGACTATTTTTTGAATATTGTTATGAAACACGATAGGTGTCCGAAATTTGAAGCAATCGACTTCATATTTGGCACATATATGCAGCGTGATGGAACCTATTGAAAATGGGGGGCTGGGGAGTAGGGAAGAATTAAAAAAAAAATTGTGTGTGCATGGTTTTATAAAAATAGAATTTTTCAAAAACCGTTTAGAAAAACTGAAAAAAATCTTGACTCAGAAGACGCAGATGATATGGCTCCATAAACTAAAAAACTGAAAAATGAGTCCCCCTATTATTGAAAATTGGCAATAATTTAAAATATGTTTCAAATGTGACTTTCTTTTACATGACGATATAGCCCGCATAGACAGCTAAAACCTTTGCAGTTATGATTTTTAAATATGGTACAGGGTATTGGTGATGTTCCCTGTAATATTAAAAAACGTAATAAGTGCCCCAAATTTGCAGCTACCGACTTTAGACTTGGGAGAGAAGTAGCATTCCGGAGCCGTATTAGACTCTATAAATTGGGGGCAATAAAATAACGCGAAGTATTTTCTTAATTTTTTTTTTGGTAATTTTAGCTTCCAGAAAAATCATCTTTTCCTCCAAAACCTTTCATCCGATTGGAAAAAATTTAAAACCGGAATGCGTGGGAGATTCGGCGCTATAACTTCTGTTTTACGCATTTCTGCGATTATATACAAGGTGTTTTAGTTATGGACAAAAATCTAAAACACCCGGAAAAGTGTTCTTTTACGGAGTAATTTATTAACCGTAAATCAATATTCGTACAAAAAATAACTAATCCGTTCAAACAGTGCTATAGGCGGTATTTACGATTTTCGTCTGTCATGTTCGCTGCTGGAGATATTTGAAAAAATCCATATCAAAATCGTAATATCTCGCATTCAATCTAGACACGATGACGTCATTTACTATTCGGCGTACTGCATGCTTTCGGAAAACTATTTATCCTGTTGAAAAAATTCATATACCCGAAAACGTGGGCGATTTAGAGCAATAACTTTTAGTTTGGACATTTTTGGGAATATGTAGAGGGTATGTCGATTATGGGTAAAAACAACAAAGAGATCCTGAAAATTGCCGTTTTCATGGGAAAGTTATTTGGCCAAAATGAAAAACTATGAAACTACGGGATAATTTGGTTTAAACAGTCTCGAAAATTGTGCCGAGAGAGTTTCAGGTTTCGTCTGTCATACAGGGTGTGCAAGTTACTTAAAATCGTTGGCAATCGTTATTACTTGTACAATGTTTTACAAATTTTCCAAATTTGTCTTGACTTTGAAGTTCATTGATATGTGAAAGACACTTTACACAGGGTTTATGTACAATAAAATTATATCGATTAAGCGAAAGTTCCATAGTTGTTCTCAGGAGCACGATAGAAAAACAATGCCTCACTCTAGGACAAGAAACCGCCAAGAGGCCAAGAGACCCACTTGCCCCGCACAGCGATGATTTTTCGAAAGCAATCCTGTTGTTCTCCTCCAATTCAACTTCTGCAGTTTCTAAATTAGCCTTGTACTTGGCTTTAACAATGAACTCTCGAAGGACTTGTCGACAAATATTTTATAATGTAATTAATTTTTTAAACTATTACCTTATCCATTTTCATTTTTCCAATATCTGACGCGCAATAAAGTAATACTTATCAAAATTTATTTCCATTCGTTTATTAATACCGATTTAAATATTATATGGCGAAAATTTTCACATAGTCGACGACGAAATCGGAACTGCCCTCCTGAGTGTTCCAGGTGGGACCCCATTGGTTCCTTCCGTTCCAAAAATCGGTGGCGGAGGTAGGAGACGTGTTGGACCACGGCTTTCCTCCGGGATTGGTCGCTTGGTCGTCGAAATAGTTGATTCCTCCCACGGCGAGGTTAATGATCAGGTAGAATTCCTGGTCGAACGGTGCCATCTTGGACCCCGCCTTCCAAGGATTGTCCAGGTTGATGTTTTGAAAGTTGCCGTAATTCCAGAAGTTATCTGATTAAAGTAATTTATGTTGACGTTACTAGTAAGCTACAAAGAGTGGCAGATATACGGGGTTTTTACGATAAGTTAAAGTAATTTGCTTTCGCAACAATTTTCCCCAAGGATACTGCGTAAATTAATTGAGACGTGGTCTTTGTTGGTGTAGCGCAACATTTGGGGCGTATGAAAAAATGGTTTGCTGGAGCAAGAACGGAGTGAGCGAGACTAGAGCAGAAAAACAGGAAAATTAGTAGCCACATAAGGCGCAAACTATGATTGATGTGTGATATGTGAAGATACATTTTTGAGGCGAAATAAGTTTTGTTACTTTCGAAAAATCGATGAAATCGAATTTTTCGCTTGGCAACGGAGCGTCGTACAGCATCGCTGTTGGTATCGATGCAATCGGCGTCGAAAAATAAACGTTTTAATTTTTTCTCTGTTCTCCATTCTCTGTTCTCTGTTCTCCGTTCTTTGTTCTCCGCTTCTCTATAGACTCGGCATTAATTGTGTTGTGTTGCTCTTTTTAAGCCGTCCATGAGACACGTAAGCCAACAAAAAATGGTAGGGATCGGACCATCTTTGTTTTTTTTCGATTTTCGGCTGTTTTTTGGACATTCCTATGAAACACGATAAGTTCCCGAAAATTGAAGCTATCAACTTAAAATTTTTCAGGCAAATAGCGTTTGATCCCTTAACGGAAGCTATTGAAATTGAGGGGTTTGGGAGGTCGTGAAGGAGAAGGATAAGGAGGAGCGGAGACGAGAAGACGCACGAGATTTGGCTCAGAAAAATTTTATTCTTGATAATTTTTCAGAAATGTACAGGGCATTTTCAAAAAAACTGAAAAATGGGCACCCCTAACAGTGAAAATTGGCTAAACTTTTGTACTTAAGGTTTTTACCTATTTTAAAGGGCGTTCCAGATATTCCGTCCTATATAAGAAATCTGTTAGGTGTCCTAAATTTGCAGATATCGACTTCAAATATCACAGAAGCAAAAGTCCATTCTCACATTTAAACAATGAAAATTGGGTGAAATCAAATTGCATCAAGCATTTTCTTAAAAATTTGTTTTTGTTTTTTTGGTTATTTTGGCTTCCAGAAAAACTTGCTTTTCTCCATAACTACCGGATCGTCAAAATTAATTAACCAGCAGATGTGGAAGATCCAGCGCTATAATATCTATTTCAGGCATTTCTTTCGATTATATACAGGCTTTTCCAATTATAGACAAAAATCTAAGGGACCCAGAAAATTGTTCTTTTCTAGAGTAAAATATTAACGGCGAATCAAAAATCGCAAAAAATATGGCAAATCGGTTCAAACAGTGTCAAAGCCACATCAAGATCTACAATTTTTGCATTTACATGTTTCGTCTATCACACACGCTGCTCTAGATATTTGAAAAAATCCATATGAAAGTCACTATACCTCGGGTTCAGTAAAGACGCCATGACGTCATTGATTATTACGGCGCACTGCATGGTTTCAGAAAAAAACAAAGCGGCTTCTTTTTGTAACACAAAGCTTCTTCGCGCTACGCCCTACTAACTTGCCCCGACCAGTGACGATTTTTCCAAAGCAATCTTGTTACTTTCGAAAAATCGATCAAATCGAATTTTTCGAAAGTATACGCGCTTGGAAACGAAACTTATATCTCGGCCTCGGTAGGTCCTAGGGAAGCCATTGGCATAGAGATGATCAGCGTCAAATATATATATATATATATATATATATATATATATATATATATATATATATATATATATATATATATATATATATATATATATATATATATATATATATATATATATATATATATTATTATATATATTTCTGTTCTCCGTTCTCCGTTATCCGTTGTCCGTTTCTCTGTAGTCCTGGAATTAATTGGCTATATCTTTTGAACGGTTTGCAGCACGACCTTCAAATTTGGTTAGTTTTAAGCCGTGCACGAGGTACACAAACCAGTAAAAAATGGGTCTGATCAAACCAAGACGTCCATCTTTTTTTTCGATTTTCATCTGTTTTTGGACTTCGCTATGTGCAGTGTCCGAAATTTAAAGCCATCCACTTGAAATTTGAAAGATATATATAGTTTAGCTCTGTAACGAAGCCTATTAAAACTGGGGGGGTTGGGGGGTCGAGAAGTATTCGGATCAAAAACCTTTATTCTTGATAATTTTTTACAAATGTACAGGGTGCGTCGGTAATTTGCAAACAACTGAAAATTGGTCTCCCTTTGTCATGATAACTGACTATAACAAGAAGGCTGTGATTCTGTTACCAGTTTTTTTTACATAGCTATTTGGACAGCTAAAACTTTTGTATTTACAGTTTTCACATACTGTACAGGGTGATTGGGATATACATTATAAGTGACCCAAAAAAAAAAAAGTCGATACCCACATCCAAACACTAGAATTTGAGCGTAATCAAGTATCATCAAATATTTTTTAAAAATTTTGAAAAATTTTCTTTGAATATTTTGGTTTCCAGAAAATTATGATTTTCTCAAAAACCATTCAACCTATCAGAAAAATTGTAGAACAAGAAAATGCGGGAGATCGAGAGCTATGACTTTTATTTCAGACATTTTTTCGATTGTATACAGGGTTTTTCAATTATGGACAAAAATCTAAGAGACCATGAAAATCGTTCTTTTCGCTATTAAATTATTAGCCGTAAATCAAAATTCGTGAAAGATATGGCAAATTGGTTTAAACAGTGTCATAAGCCGCATCGAGAGTTACAATTTTTGTATTTACGGTTTTCGTCTATCACATACGGTGTACGAGATATTTGAAAAAATCCAAATGAAAATCACAATTTCTCGCCTTCAATCAAAACGCGATGACGTCATTGATTATTACGGCGTACTGCATGGTTTCAGAAAACAAGTATTTTCTTTAAAATAACTTACTCTATTGGAAGGAATCATACACCAGAAAACGTGGGAGATTCAGGGCTATCGCTCCTATTTCGAACATTGTTTGAATTATATACAGGGTGTGTCGATTATTGACAGAAAATCTAAAAGTTCCTTAAAATTTCAGAAATAAAGCTATTTATTATTGTTGTTGTTGTTATAAATACGTTCCTAAATTATTTCAATGCCTATGGTCTAAAGTTTAGAGACTGCCCTTTCTTTATGAACCGCCCTGCATATATTATTCATACCTTCCGGTGCAACGCTTGCAATTTCTACATCGTCCACTGAAACGGCGATTTTATCGGGGGTCCATTCGAGTTGGTACTTGTGGAAACCGGTGTCGTAGCCTTCGGCCAAATTCTTCTCGTAATGGGTCTGGTAGTCTCTATTATAGTTAGAGTTCGGTCCCCATTGGAGGGTAGTGCTCACTTGTTGGGTACCGATGTTGACGCCGTTCAATTCCAAGTTTTTGTTTCCTCTGCTTTCGAGTATGTCGATTTCGCCGGAAGCGGGCCAACTCCCGTACTGATTGAAGCGGGGTAACATCCATATGGCTGAAATTTTTACAATTAAGCATACTAAATGAGAAAACGGTGGCAAGAAACAGAAAAGTTCACCTCTTACAAAAACTATCGCAGGTACTAGAAGGCTCACCGGGCAATAACAGCAAGTAAACAGCTCTATGGACAAGCCATGTTTCGAATTAAGCTAGGAAAGAACATATCGGAAAAAATTCAAACCTCAAAAGGCCTTCGACAAGGATGCTATCTCTCGCCGACACTGTCCAAGATTTATTTGAATGTAGCCTTAAGAAAAAACTCCCTCCATTTTGCGGATGATCAAGTTGTAGTGCAAAGGATAAAGAAGATCTGGAGTTTATGACAAGGAGGCTATTTGTCCAGTAAACTGTATTAAAACAAAATACATGTGTACTAAGATGAATGAGAGTGGACGAACAAGAAAGGAAATAGAAAACCGAATAGTGATGGAGAAAAGAGTCATGAGATGTATCAAGTCAACACATATCCCTAAAGAAAGAAAAAATCTCGGATGGATGCGAAACATGGCAACTAGACAAAGCCTTGAAATGGACTTCAGGCCCAGAGCCGATTAAACAAGGATGGATCGAGTAAACAACCAACGAATAAGGCCAATCATATACGTGCAGAAAACCATCCTTGAAGAAATAGACCAACGACAACTTATATGGTATGGCCATGTAGAGAGAATGGGTAAAGAAGAATTATCAAAGCAAATTCTAAAATGGACACCCACAGAAAGAAAAGGAAAAAAGGAAGACCTAAGATTATGTGGCTAAAACGGATACGCTGAGCCATGTCACAAAGGAACCTACAACCAGGAGACTGGGAAGAACGAAAGGAATGTGAAACTGAATTGATGAGGACAATATATTCCGGGATATCATCCGTTCGTTTGTTGAAGTCTTGGTATTTTCAATGTTCGCGCTCCGAAAAAACTTGGAGGTTATCAGCGGTGCGTGCGGTATTGATACCCTGCATACCATCTTTCCCATACACAAGTCGGCGTACTGATTAAAGGATTTAACTATGCAATAGTTCCAAAAACAGTACCCGTCGAAGAGATCGTTTCCAACGTCGAAAAAGGTTTTTTCACCATTGACGAACAAGATGCGGAATTAATTAGGCAAGATGTCGTCAGAGTTTTAAGACAGCCAAAATCACCTCAAACAAACTTAAGCAGAGAAGAAATGCAAGCCTTGAAGAATCTAAACAAAAACGAAAATATTATAATAATGACAGCAGACAAAGGAAATGACACTGTCGCCATGAATACATCGGATTATAATGTAAAATTGGAGGATATTTTGAACGACCCAATATACAAATAGTCAGCAGAGATCCCACGACATATTTGAAAAAACAACTAAATCGAAAATTCTTGATTCATCATAAACAAGGATACAAAGAAGAAGCTTATTCCGACGGAAAAATCGAGTAGTTGTCCAAAATTATACGGGATCCCAAAGATACATAAGGACGGGCTTCCAATGCGTCCAATCGTAGGCGCCTTTAGCTCACTAGTATGCAAGCTCGGGATGGACAAGGACGACATTATGACAAGCTTCGATGTCAAATCCCTATAACCGAGCATTCCAGTAGAGGAGACACTCCTGCTTATTGAAGAAAACGAAGATCTTCCACAGTACATAATGAAACTTGCAAGACACTGCCTGAAAAATGCTTACTTTATGTACAACGGGAAAATATGCCGACAAGTAGATGTGATTGCCAACCTCTTCATGATTTACTTCGAAAAAAAAGCAATAGAGAAGGCAAATCTGAAGCCAAAACTATCGATATTTGGAAGCCACTGTCTATAGAAAATCAACACACACCAATAGATATCTGAACGCTAAGTCTCATCACCGCCCATCACAGATACAGGCAGTGGCAAATTCATTAATTGCTCGGTCCTTCAGACTCACAAACGGGAAGAACAGAGATGACGAACTGAAGAGATTTAGTACCGGTCTTCGGCAAAACGGATAGCAAAGGCGCATCATCAGCAAGGCACTCAGCAAACAACAGCAGCCGCAACAGAGAGTGCAGGACGAGACCCAAGGAAGATCGATCGCTGTCCTGCCATACATCAAGGAGGTTACTGACAAAATCGGCCGAATATTACGAAAGCACGAGAAATCAACGGCATAGAAACCTGATCATGCTATTGGAGCCATACTAAGAAAGGAGTATATAGTGTAGCATGCGGATCGTGCAGCCTGACTAATGGAAGGATTTCGGCCAGGCTCGAAGAACATCGTTTAGCCACGAGAAATAAATAAACAACATCTGCTTTGTTTCAGCACCAACACCAGACAGGCCGCCATAATATTGATTGCAGTACTTGCAAACAAATAGCTAATATTTCTGATTTTAGGACCAGGATTATACGAGAGACCATCGAGATAGAAAAGTCCAGACACCTGAATACGAGAGACGACGCTCTGCATTTATTCAATACGTGGAGAACGATAATCAAACGGCAGAGCGATACGCAGCAGCCAATGGGGACATCGCAACCACGATAGGGCGAAATAAACAACGCGACAATTCGGTGGGCGGAGCCGTCTCCCCTCCCGCAGAAGCAGCACCTTCGGTGCAGGGTATAAATACCGCACGCATCCCCGATAACCTCCCATTGTTCGAAGTGTTTTCGGAGCGCGAGCATTGGAGATGCCAAGTGAGATCTTTTGCGAAACATCTGCAGGATTCCAGTAGGTGTGTAACAAGTGAACGGATGATTTCCCGGAATATATTGTGCTCATATACATTCTATCTGCTATACATTCTATTTTCTGAGTAGGCTTTCATTACCTGGCCACAGCCAATCTCCGGATGGTGTTTTCGCGCTCACTTCCAGTCTTCCGTATTTGAAATAAAACGAATCCACCGTTCTGATTCTGGCACTTTTTATTGGGTTCAGGATGTTGCTAGGGGTTCCCGTTCGCAGACAACCGTACGACATGGGGTTTGTACATCTAAAATGATAGCGTTTGTGGGGCATTTTGTTAGTAACCGTTTCAAAACGTGCTTTAAACACTCTATTTTTTTAGTACACTTTGTAATAAAAACCTTTAACTCCCTTAACAAGCTTGTTTCATTGTAACCGAAAGACAACTGCAGTCGTTTTTGAATCATATTTACTTCATATATAACCATATGAAATTTACCATAGAGACGGAACTAGATAACTCTTTGATCTTTCTGGACTTAACTGTACCCAAATTACCGAACAAATGAGATTTTTTTATTTACCATAAACCCTCACACACGGACACAATAATACATAATAACTCAATAATACATAGCAACTCACACACACACAATATCTGCCTTTTATGCTTTTATCTTTTTTTTATCACTTTCCACAGAAAAAATTGAAAAATAATTAAATATTATAAAACAAATAGCTTTTAACAATGGTTACGACCCCTCTTTGATGAATAAGTTTTTTGCTTCGATAAATTTTTATCAGGGAGCGGCCAAACTACATGGTTTGGAATATATTTGGCTCATCCGCAAAAAGTAAACTACAGAGACTGATATAACGGTAGATATAGAGAATTTAACATAGCAAGAACATTTGGAATCATCTATGTAAATTTTGGGATGTTTTAAAAATGAGAACGCCATCCGAAATTTTTTAAAAAACAATAAAAATAAATCACGAAAAACTCAAAAATGAGGAGGTAAATGTGAATCATGTCCCTAAATATCTGACCAACAGGTAGAAAATTTAAGAAACGCATTAACGAGCATCAAAGGGAGTATAAAAATAAAACTATGTATGCCATTTATTTAAATTCAGACATGCACAATATTAACGATAATTTTGATATTTTACAAAATGAATCAAAAAGCAAAAAACTAAATTTGTTGGAAGCCTAAGAGATTAACAACTTGTTAGTCGAATCTATTATTTAATTTCAAATTGGATTTAAATGACTCTTCGTTATTAAAATTATGTATACAGTTCTGGTAGAACCTAATGATTTACAAAGGAAATTAAAAATCAAATCATAGACATGGTTGCGAAAAACATTGATAAAGTAAAGGAGGTACATTTATTGGATCAAAAATGTCAAATTCTTGCAAGCAAAGCTAGGAAGAGTAATGTAATAGTATTTGACCTTGAGCTCAGCAAAGAGAATATTTTAAGTGAAGTACTAGACAATTTAACACAATTTAAACACAAATTTAAAAATAAATAACCAAATTGAAGGGACTACTTTTTCTTTCTGTAATATTTAATTATTTTATATAGGTATTTTATCATATACTCAGGAACATTTTATATAAATGTTTAAGAACTACATTTAATTTTTCAAATAATTGGTCATTTTTTTTCCAATGTTTTTGGCTTGTATGTTCACCATTTCTTCGAGAGGGGCATCTTCCCCATGATACATAAAAAAATTCTCTAGCAGCTTAACTGAATATAGGGCTTGTTGAATGGCTGGTGGTGGTCCCAGATGAACTTATTCATCTTCTTCTTCCTCTTGGTGCTCTTCCTCACCCCTTCTTGCTTGTTGTAATATGGCTTCCACTGTCAAGTCTGCTGTTTCAGGCCAGGATCTATCACCATAGAATCTTGCAACTCCTCACTTGTAAACCGAATTGTTGTTTGAAACTGCTTCATCTACTCGCTTAGTGGCTCTTCCAAGTCTTGTTCGCATTCTGTCTCGGTAATAAGTCCTGCATGACGATAGCAGTGTTGAATTGTTTCTGCTGTTATCTCTTTCCAAGCTTTACTAATACAGTTGACTGCATCCAGCATATTAATGGACAATTTGTCTTCGGACTCGACCATTTCCATTAAAATGCTTTTTCTGTATCTACCCTTAAGACTTTTTATTACGCTCTGGTCCAACGGCTGTAATACATTTGTTGTTTCGGCTGGAAGAAATGCCATTTCAATATTCCGTAGATTTGGAATATGGAGATGTGCAGGGCAGTTATTTAAGAGAAGTAATATTTTCCTCCCCTTCATTTCTGCATCCCATTTCCGTATCTCCTCTTCAAGAATTTGCGATGTCATCCATGCAGACTTGTTTGCCTTTTAGTTGATTTTTCAATCAAATATCATCAGCAGGGTACTTTTCTGCTAGTTTTGACCACGTCTTCTCCAGTCAATCGTTAGTGACGTTTCTGTCGACATTACGGGCTTCGCCATTTATCTGTCCATACTTTATATCATGTCGCTGTTTGAACTTCCCCAACCATCCATCCTGTTCAGCAAACTTTTCTGCTTTTAGTTTTACGATAGGTCCAGTGATTGGTACATTTTTAAGACGTTGCTGTTGGAACCACTGCAACATTGCCCGATCCAAATTTTCAAATTTTTTCATTCGGTGTAGAGAGTGAGACATTCATTATACAGAGTGGATTAATACATAGCTTTTTATGGACACCTAATACCACAACAAATTTTGTTCGTAATACAGAGTTGTACATTATACAGAGTTTCGCTATAGGGAGTTTTCGATTACTTTTTTTACTTTTGATGAACTTGAAAGGAACGGGGATTGTCATTTCCCACTACCTCTCCAGAGAAGATAGAAAAATACAAAGGACTTTAGGAAAACATTCGAAAAACGTCAGACTACAGAATTTTAATGATAAACTACAAGGCAATCAGTTAATTATTAATGGCCAGTCTTGATGGTGTATGGGATAAATACGGAACATATATAGACAAAATCTGGGAGGATAGAACCACTGTAGAACAGAAACAAGGGTCAGGCATCACCAAGCAAGAGAGTTGCCAGAAAAGGAAAAGTAATCAAATGCAGTCCCAAGTTACAGGTCGACAAAACTGCAAGGAAGATAAAGAAAAACTAAAAATTATATCATCTGCGTATTGATTTGCATTCAACTAATTCGTCTTATTTTGACACAGTTTCCTTGTTTCTTTTCTTTTTTTTTTCTTAAAAAAAAGGCGGGTTAAATAAATCCAGGATACTGGATAATTACGCTGGAGATTTCAGATTGACCGAAGTTCGTACCATTATTGCAGATTGTATAGACCAAGCAACTCACTTTTGTTAGCAATCTATTGGTCTATAATAAAAGAGTGCTAAAAGTTATATTTCAACGACAGTATCTCTCAGATTAGCTTTTTAAGCATTGCATGGTATTAACTATTCGACAACTATACTATAAAATAACTATGATTTATATGCGGAAAATATCGTTATTCAACAACTACAAATCTCATGGTTATTTGACTAGAAAAAAAACAAAGAAAACATAACACAGCCATTTGCAAAGAAGAGGATAGGGCAGCGAACATTTTTATATTTTGGAAATAAATTATATTAGACGCTGAAATGAAAAATATTATAACATCTAAAGGATTCCGCTATAAATTGTTTTATTGGTTAGTGGACAGTTATTGATTAAGATTAAAGCTATGACTTAAAGCAACTTCAATTAATGCAATCCATTATTATGGTTCCTTTTTGATTTTTGGTTTTGTCTGGGTTATTTGTAAAGTAAATAACACTTAAGATAGCAGACAGGTTCTGCAACTCAGCTTAATTAAGTGTAATATGCTATTAAACTAAATTGCCCTGTACTGAGTAGAATGTGGTTGTAAAATGGTTGTTTATAGTTCGATTTTGGCGTTTTTTTTTTGTTGAATATGTTTCTGAAAAATGTATTAAAACCTTGTTTTGCTTATTGCTTTAACTTAAAGTCATGGTCAACTAAGACTATTTAACAAAAAAGAGCTATTTGAAAAAAATTAAGCTCAAGGCTGTACGTCGTTGTAATATCTTTTTTTTTGTTAGATGGATCTCTATAAAAAAGGCACTGAAACCTTATGTTTCTGATTACATCAACCTGAAGTCAAGGCTTACTGGGACTTTTTTTTATGTCAAATATCTAGAAGGGCTGCTGGGATTTACTTAAGAATATAGGGTCAACGAATTCTTATTCAGAACTACATAAAACTTGATTATACTAATTTCTACTTAAGCATTATTCCTGCGGAATGTCTGTTTGTTGCTCAATTTTGATAATTGTTTTTTCGTTGGATAAATTTCACTGAAAGACACTAACGATTTTCTTAAAATTAAATACGATTGGAGAGGATTAGATGTGAACTAAACAGACTTCACAACGCTGTATTTTCTTAATTAAAGATGACGTTTTAAGATAATAACAGAAACATCAAAATTCAAACATTGGTCATTGGTCAGGTTACAGCAAAAAAAAAATCAAAATAATTAGGTTTTTTCTATAAAATTCCTTGACACGTTATTCTTAAAGATATCCCCAATTGCTATTCTCGATGCTTGACATAAGAAACAAAAAGAAACATAAACGATATTTCAAATACCCTGTAATGAAACATTACAGAAATTGGTATAGTTCGCTTCTAAATACTCTTGAATTTGTTACCAATTTATTTTTTTGAAAATCCCCAATAGTACTTCTCTATTCTCTCTCTTTTGTTAAATAGTCCCAGTAGGCCATGACTTTAAGTTGAAGCAATAAACAAAACGAGGTTTAGTGCATTTTTCAGAGATCTATCCAACAATTTTTTTTATCAAAATCCATCCACAAACAAAGATTTCACAAGACCGTACAGTTCTTAATTGAGACACACTGTATATATAGATGTCGGGATATTGTCATATTTTGTATTTAATAAAGGCACTGTGTTACCGAAACAGTTGTCATAAACTAATAAACAACTGTGAAAATCTGTACATTTTCAGTCTCATTTAGTTGCCTTAACATGTTTTTGGATCGCCACATCAGAAAAATATTAAATGTCTTAATAAATATCGTCTAATTTAATTTTCATAAATTTGCATTAATTTAGCATTTGCTTTTAACCCCAAAACTCCTTAAAACCAGGTATGCTGTTTTCTAATATCGTTAGATTACTAATGAAATATGAAATATCTAATTATTTTCATGTCCCCCAAATTTTCTAAAAAATAATTCTTATCTTCAATAACGCTCTTAATTTATGTTGAATAGAAAATTTTGAGAATTTTTCGTTGAATCTAAAAATGTATTAACGTTGGTGTGTTGGAACCCTAGTATAAGTAGTTACAATGCTTACTGATCTCCAGGTCCCCCTCCATTGACCTCCAACGTGCCTGAACTGAGGAAAGCCTCTCCGACGTCGTCAGCTAAAAGTGTCGGCCGTATATGCAGGTATCCGTTATCCACGAAACTGTTGGTTCTGTTGTTGCTGTACAGCTCAAATTCCCAATTCTAAAAATTTTAAATGTACGTGGTAAGTGTGGTGCAAAGAGTCACTCAGAGCAGTGCAAACGCGAGTTAACTAAATGACTAAGTTGTTTTGGATAGAGGAGGACCAAATCGTCCGAATAAATTAAAATATTTTAGCTAAGAACAGTAAATAAATTGTCAAAATCTTTTTTTTTCAAATTTTATATTTCAGTGATTATCTGGTTTTAATCGTTTTCTTTATAACAATTATTACCTGGGATCTGCGCTTTGCAGATCCAATGTTGTAAATATGACAGCACGTAGAAGGAGAAGGGGTTTAAGAGAAGAGTCTAAAACCATTGGCTTATAGTCCAAAGATCCAATATTGTGAAAGAAATGTCGAAGTTATATGCTATGTTTCTTAATTCGAGAGAGTAATAAAACGTAAATTTGTCAGGGATCATTAAGCTTATATCGTCACACATCTCGATTCAGGTCATAGTAGAAAGATCAGTTTTGGTTAATAAAATTTTTCTTTTTTCTTTCTTTTTTTAAGTGAATCAAGGGCCGAAAAAATTTTTTGTCTGTTCTCTGTTCTCTATACCTGGACATTTTCGACGATAACTTCCGAACGCTTCAAATTTTGCTCCTTTTTAAAAGACTACGGGATGCATAAGATGTGTAACAATGGCTGCGGTCATAATTCGGCGTCCATCTTTTTTTTTTCGATTTTCGACTGTTTTTTGGACATCGTTATGAAACACGATAAGTGCCCGAAATTTAAAGCTATCAACTTCAAATTTGGCTTCGTGACGAAAGCTATTGAAATTGGGGCGGCCGGGGGGTCGGGAAATATTTTTAAAAAATTAATAATCGCGATTGCGAGGGTCTAAGGAAAAAATTTATTTCTGGAAAGGCATTTAGGTTATAGAAAAAATTTTTGAACGAGAAGATCTGCGAGATTAAATTCTATAAACCTTTACTGTAAAATGTACAGGGTGAGGCCGGTATTTGCAAAAAACTGAAAAATTGGGTCCCGTTGTAATGGTAATTGATCATAACTAGAAGGCTGGGTTTCAGGTGTCATGGTCATATAGCCTGTATGGACAGCTAAAACTTGTGTATTTCAGATTTTCCCCTATTGTACAGGGTGTTCAAGATAATCCGTGCTGTAACAAGTGTCTTAAATTTGCATTTATCGACTTCAAATTTTGCGGAAAAGTAGAAGTCCACATCCGCATTTAAAATGTTGAAGCTGGCCTCCATCAAATATCGAGAAGTATTTTTGAAAAAATTTTGAAAAATTTCTTTGGGTACAGAAAAAAAAATTTTTTTCTCTAGAACTAATAACCCGATCGCCAAACTTCTTTAACCAGAAGACGGGTAAGATCTTTTACTATTCCTTTTTTTTTTACTTTTATTATATTATTATGTACAGGGTTTTTCAATTATAGACGAAAATCTAAAAGACCCAGAAAATTGTTCTTTTCCAAAGTAAATTATTTCCAGTAAATCAAAATTCATAAAAATATGACTAATTAGTTTAAACAGAGCTACAATTCTACACATCTACACATCAAGAGCTACAATTTTTGTATTTACGGTTTTAGTCTATCACATATGCTGCTCGAGATATTTCAAGAAGTTCATGTGAAAGTCCCTGACGCGATTTAATATTACCGGGTACTGCATAGTTTCAGAAAATAATTATTTTCTCGAAAACCATTTACTCTATTGGAAAAATTCATGGCGCGGGAAACGCAGGAGATTCAGGGCTATAACCTCTACTTTGAATATTTTTGAATAAGAATTGATTTCGTCGATTTTTCGAAAGTAACTCTCTATTGCCTTTCAATTTTGCAGTACAACCAGAATCTTTTTCTTTTGTGCAATAACCTTGAAATCCCATTTGAGGACAATCTTTTTGGACACTTCGGACACACTGTACTGTGGTTGTTTTATAAAAAAAAACTGTCGCCTTAAATATGCTACACGCATGCGCGCAATTTTGGTTTTCACAAAAAACTTATTTTTTGCGTTGTTCTAAAGTTAGATATTTCCTTAAGTGTCCGATAACTGGGACGTATAGCTTAGATCCAACAAACATTTTCTATCTACTTACGTACTTTGCAAGTGGATTTTCGATAATATACCTACAGAATAATGATTTTTATTTTCCAAATATAATTCTAAATTAAAACTTAAGATAAGATAATAGAAAACCATTCGATTTTGAGCGATATCATTTCTTAAGATAAAAATTGCCTTCATTTGATTTGTAACTATTTTTCAACGTTTCACGAGATGCCTATAGTATTTCCCACACAATTTTTATAAATTCTCTGGAAAATCTATTTTATTTTTGATATTTGTCCAATATAAAGTGGGTTTTAGTATTTAAGGATTAGGGGAACATTATCGGAAAAGGTTTTATATGTCCCAAAATATTTGTTTTTCAAAAACTTTTAGGATGATCTACGTCTAAAACCAATTTTATTTTTTTGTTCAGGAGATATGAACGTGAATTACATATTTGGGCGATTGAAAATTATGCACTGAACTTTAGGATTGCGCGAATTTCGAAAAAAAATCGTACGGTCTCCTCAATCCTAGAAAAAGTGTTGGTTACTTCTGATTACTTGAAAACTGACTTTTTGCACATTCTTGAGACTTATAGCACTCGCTTGTGTGTGCAAAAGAGTCTTTTTCAAAACTTGTTGCACTATAAATCAGTAAAACGGCATAATATACCTTTTCATTTGCTCTTGGTATAAATCCAGCAAAATTACGTCCCAACATTTGTCTTAATAGAAAAAAATGAGATTCAAATCTATCAAAATGACACAAGTTGCGTTGTTTTAAATATAACAACCAGTATATTTTTATTCTTCTTCAATGAAATTTTCTTCCTGATTTGAAGAATATGAAGTTTGCTTCTATGTTAAAGCCTTCATTCGATATAATGTAAATGTCTCACTTATCACGTGTCACGTGTTCACATTTAAGACACTCCGTTTGACGTTTTGGTAGGAATAAGAGTCACTAATTTAATGCAATTTGATATAATTCTAGAGGTGGTGTCAAACCGCCGTGGAACATATTTTGAAATGCGGTTTATTTATTTTTAAATGTTGTCATTCCAATAATAATTGAAATTTGGCCGAAAAAAAGAAAAAACCTTTTGGTTACAATGCAAGATAAACCTTAATCAGACTCATATCGCTAAATATTTAGGTTTGTTTGCGGACGAGCAAAATTAATTGATTTTTTTTTTTAATTTTTGATAAAGGGAAAACTAACCAAATCTGGTATTCTTGCATGAAGCAGTGAGAATGATTGTACTTTGAACGTGGGTAATCCTATCACACCCTCTATAGCATATTATTCTATGATTTTAGTAGTCATCAACTGATAAAAAAGCGTATATGGTTTTAACCTAGCCTTTATAATAGAATCACAACGGAGAGTACTGGTCCATATGCTTCATATCAACACCAATAAAAAACAAAAAAAATATTCACACCCACAAGTTGTTCAACAAGAAGTTTTCCTAGTTTGCTAAATAGTTTGCATAGGCACATCTCTTCTAATCTCAATCTCCTCCAGGGCATCCTCAAAAAAAAATTGGCATTGGTAATATTCCTGTGCGCAAGTTGATATTATTGCTAAATATCACTTTACTACAAAAAATATCGTGAAAAGCACAAAAGACAAAAATAACAATAGGTTATTTTTCTGTTATCGATTACCAATAGAAGAGGTGGCAGATACTGAATTTTATCATTCTAGGTAAACACGTGCACTTCTGGCTGTTTGCCCACAACATTTCTATTCACTGAAATTTTAGAAATATTAAAATTTTTATTTTGCGAAAACCTCGAACTCACTCCTGTTGAACCCTCTTTATCGAAATTTTAAAAACAACGCTGAATATTTCAATTAAATATGCATTACCTCCGCATTTATTTAAGAATAAATTTTGTTTAGAATAAGTTTTAATATGTCGCTGTTAATTATTTTTCTTTTTGATATTGATGTTGATATTGTGAGATGTTATTTTTTAAGTAATAAATGGGACGGTATAGCTATTAGCTACATGAATAAATTTCTATAGAGGCAAACTCCAGCTAGAAAATATTTACTCAGTTATGATGCCAGGCAAGTCCACATTAGACAAAGAAAAAAAGTCGTCAGATACTCAGAAATTTAAAAGAAAATATATTTGATGACATTATTAGCACTGACCAATCTATATTCATCCATTCAGTTCAACTATTCAATCGAATCAATTTGGAAAAACAAAATTGTAAGCCCAGTGTTTTTTGAAGGCAATTGTAAATCTCAGTAATATTTAATTTGGCAGCAATGTGGTGTTCCTTACCAGAATGGTCCTGCCATAGAAAACTAGTTAAATACACGGAATAGGGAAGCATCTGTGCCTTAAAAACCATAGTAGTTTTTGGCATTAACAATAAGCGCAACTTGATTTTTTACAATAAAAAAATCTAAGTGGGTACAATATTTTGATCGCGAAAGAATTGACTAAGTAAAGTTCAACTTCCGCTTGTTGGTGTAGTTTATAGACCACCCAAAGGTAATCTTACAGACTGGCATCACTTTGATAGTCTTCTGTCATACATTACATCCCAGTGGGGGAAGTCAATGTAGACCACAGTCACGCAAATATTCTTTTTCTTTTTTTCTTCTCAGTTGAATGAAGATCCTACTCGCATATCAGCTATCGCACATAAAATTACTGATATCACTTAAACGAACTAGTCTATTCTAGTTCAAAATTGGTTCATAAAGGTAATGCTTTTTCTGTGATTTGAAATCGTACGTTGGGGGTGTCCTAAGTTTGTCATATAGAGAAATTTCAAACAATTTAGTGACCAACGGTTCCCAATAGACCTTTAGTCAGTACATTGGAATTCCAGATATTATATCAGTAATAAGACTTCTTTTTTTGAAAGACAATATTGTAATAATAACATAATTAAAATAATAACGTATTACACAGCATATCTGTTCACAGCGGGTGTGACCGGTGAACAGGCTTGTTTGAAGATAAATACGTTTTTTTTACGGTTTTCAAAGATCCTTTAATACTTCTGGGGCCTCATTTTCACATTAAGAAAATAGTAATTCTTCTCAGAAAAATCTGAAAATTTAACGTCCACATAAGTAGCATACTTTCCTACTGAAAGTTTTTATCTCTTTGGACAATTTGATTATTTTAAAATATCTCATATATCTCAATTACTATTAATTTTTTAATTAACATTTGGACATTTATTATATTTAATTTAAAGGGTAAAGTATAACAATACAAATTTTAACAAATTGGCATATTTTTGGAAAAATTACATTTTAAATCTAACTTTTAACAACATCCTTATCTCTCTTTTTCCTTGCTTTTGCAAAAAAATAGAATTGATATCCTAAATAATAACCATGCCCTATTTATAGATAGACTAAAACTCCTGATTGTAATAAAAGTAAAAAATCTCGACTTGAGCTTCAAGCTACGTTATTAAATTATGCCCATATAGTGTATTACGCTTGCCTTGATGTCTATGCTAAGAATTGGTTTCAAAAGATTCAAAATACTTATTGCAGGTTTATTTTCAGACAGAGTGTCCCCAAAAAATAAAGTCCATTCATTGACTCCGAACTTGGTGCGCTAATAGGTTTCTCTTTAAATTAAATAATTAAATGAAATAAGTAAAATTTTAATTCTAATCACAATCACGTAAACTTCTATCCCATAAACTTCTCCTTTAATGTAATGTAATGTAATATACTCTTGTTGATAATACATTACACAATAAAAGGAATGTATTATTATTACTTTTATTATGAATGTTATCATTATTTATTATTATTACTATAACTATTATTATCATTATCATTATCATCATCATCATCATCATCATTATCATTATTGATTAGATCCAAAAAAAATATTTTTTTTGTCTGTCCGTTCTCCGTTCTCTGTTCCAGGGTTTTTTAACAATAACTTAAGAACGGTTTGAGCTACTCGATTCAAATTTCGCTCCTTTTTAACACTCCACAGGATGCATCAGATATGTAAAATTGGCAGCGTTCCAACTTTCCATCTTCGAATGTTTTTTGGACGTTTCTATGAAACACGATAAGTGTCCGAAAATTGAAGCTATTGACTTTGGCAGGCGAATAACGCTTGGTCCCCTAACGGGGTGGTGGGGGGTGGTGGAGGTCCGGGAAGTATCTAAAAAGAATTAAAAATCGCGTTTCTAATCGTCTAACAAAAAAAATATCCCTCGAAAACTGTTTATGCAACTGAAAAAATCTTGAACGAGAAGACGCACAAAATTTGGCTTCGAAAAATTTTATTCTTGATTATTTTTCAAGAATGTACGGGGTGGGCAGCGTTTTCAAAAAAACTGAAAAATGGGTACCCTTAATAGTGAAAAGTGGTTATAACTAAAAGACACTCTTTCAGATATTACTTTCTTTTACTTAACGATATAGCCCGTGTAGATAGCTAAAACTTTTGGATATAATGTTTTCACCTATTGTAAAGGATGTTCCAGATATTCCGTGCTATATAAGAAATCAACTGATTTCCTTCAAAATTTGCAGATATCGACTTCAAATTTAGCATAGAAGTAAAAGTTCATACCCACATTTAAACAGTGGAAATTATGTGCAATCAAATTTCACCAAGTATTTAAAAAAAAATGATTTTTTTTCAGAAAAAACTTATTTTCTCGAAAACCATTTACTCTAATGGTAAAATTCTTGGAACAGGAAATGTGGGAGATCCAGGACTATAACCTCTGTATCCAAAATTTTTTCAATTATGTACAGGGTGGGTCGATTATGGGCAAAAAATCAAAAAGTCTCTGAAAATTGCCGTTTTCGTTGGTTAAATTATTAGCCGTAAATGAAAAATTGTAAAACATAAGATAATTTGGTTTAAGCAGTATCGTTAATTATGTCGAGACAGAGTGTAAGGTTTCGTCTATCATCATAGTTTGCCCTGGCTTTGAAGTTTAGCGATACTTGAAAGACTCTTTATTCTGGGTGTACGCACAATATAATTACATAGATTTTGCGAAAGTTCCATTGTGGTCCGCATGAGCACGATAGGAAAACAATGCGTCCCTTTTTTGGCAAGAAACCGGCATATTTTCATAATGTCTGTATATAGTAAGGTATTATATATGACTAGGTATCAGTAGGTATCAGTAGTCGTAAGTAAGTCGTAAGCCTTTTGTTTAAAATGAAAACTTTAAATAAATAAATAAAAAATATTCTAGTGGACTCTTTTATAGGATTCGATACTGTTGTATAAAACCCAACGGAAGAAATCAGATATAACTATTATTATTATTATTATTATTATTATTATTATTAAGTTAATGTAGCATCAAACTCCATAAATAAAAATAAGAATAATGACTATTTTAGATTAGTTAATGATAAATCAATAAGTGTCTTTATCGATAAACTGTCTCGAGTTTGTTGGCCTGACCAGATTTGGAATGCTCAGAATGCTAATGACATGTGCACCTCCATTATTAATACCCTGTCTGAACTCTCAAAAGCATCTTTCCCCCTTACTGAAGCTAAGGAGCACCGCTGCCCTTTAGTGCGGTTTTCTAATGAACTGAGAGAAATGCGTAAGCGTGTTTATGACTTAAAAAGAACGTATAATTGTTCTAGAATCACCCTTGAATGGCATAGATATAAAGATTACCATAGGGATTATAAACGGGTTATTAAATAAACTTAAGCTTAACACATCGAAGACGAAAAAAATGCTAATAACATCCAACAAAAGAGCTGTAAAGTCACAGCCTGCTAAGCTTCTAGGTATCTTTCTCGATACCTTCCTAACCTGGTCGGCTCATATCGATTATCTATGTTCCAAACTCTCGTCTCAAATCTTTGTATTAAGGCAATTAAAAGACTGCATTTCGCAGAAGTCCTTAAAGACTATCTACTTTGCACTCTTTCACAGTCATCTGACCTATGGCGTGCTTCTTTGGGGTAACTCTTCAGATGCTGATCGGGTTTTTCGGCTTCAGAAGGCAGCAGTTCGCATTCTCCAAGGGTCTCCTCCTGGAGCACATTGTCGTGAGCTTTTTATTAAATTTAAGATTCTAACTCTGCCTTCCCTATTCATATACTACAACCTTCTGGAGGTCCATGCTGGTTTGCAGAGGTATCCCACTCATGGTGACTACCACTGCTACGACACACGCGGATCTAGCAATATTTTTCCACTTAAGTCTAGATTAGCCACTACTCAGAAAAATAAACTAAATTTGAACATATATAACATATTTGTGAACAACTATAACCGCTTGTATAAAGCTAACGCTAAGCAATTTACGATAAGAAAATTTAAGTTATCGGTTAGAAGCTATCTTTCCAGTTATGGTTTTTACTAAGTTGAGGAATTTCTATCGCATATCCCAAGAATATAGTGTATACTGTTAACTCAAGCAAATATTTTTATTTATAATTTTTTTTTCTATAAACATATGTTTATATACATATTATTTTTTCTATTTCTTGTTAAATTTATCAAATTGTTGTTGTATTTATATTTTCTTCTTTTTGTTATTGTTGCTGTTTTTTCTATTTTGTTATATTACTGAGTTTCGACTTCACAAATACATGTATTTATAGGTGGTCAATAAACGATATCTATCTATCTATTATTATTATTATTACTATTAAGTCTTTCGTGTAAGCTTTTTGGGATCTCGCCTTTCACCCCAACAACAATGGGTATTATTCGCACTGACTGTAGCCTCCACATTTTTTTTATTTCAACCGCTAGTGGCAAGTATTTATTGATTTTCTCAGTCTATGATGAAAGTTTTTTTTTATCTTTTAATTCCAAGACTATATCCGGGATGTTGTTTGGTATACGGCGAAGGGAATGAGTTTATTTATTTATTAATTATTATTATTATTATTATTATTATTATTATTAATATTAATATTATTACCTTAAGATGCCATCTGGACACGCAAACTCAGTTAAAGGTCGCTTTAGATCTACTTACCCCGCCACCGCTCAGTGTAATCTCGTGGGACCATTTTCTCAAATCGAACGTGTCGAACGTTTCTTCGAAAATTACATCTCCAGGACAGATAGTTCCTTGAACAGCGTAAGTACCCCCGACCGTGGTCGCACTCGGTACGTCGCAGGAACACGCGAATTTCCAGAGAACTACGCAAACCAGGAGCTGCAACTATGTAATAAATGTTGTTAGTTTTAAGTAAAGAGTTGCCAAAAATATAGTTACGTTAAGCGTTCGAAACATTTCGTATAAAGTGCGTTCGCGGTAGCGCGTGAGGGCTCTTTTGATATTTTTTTTTATCGAAACACTTAAAAACACGTCGTTCTTTCAATGCCGCTAATCTTATCGAACACTTTAAAAAACCTATTGTAAGAAAACTTTGCCCTGTAAATAAGTCGTTTTCTTTTTCTGAAATTTACATCAAACAGTATTATTGTAAAACAAGTAAATTTTGTAGACTACTGTAATACTATTTTTCTACTCCCGTCTGTGAAATGCCGCATTATATACCGATCTAGTATGCAGGAAGCGTCACTTTACCACGTCAGTTTCGTTTCCCACGGATCCGAGTCACTTTGGACAGTTCCGCACGGGTTTGGGAGCAATCGGCTGTTTTCGGAGATATTACCGCACGGCTTGAATTTTGATGTTTGTCAATTCTGACGGTCATGTCAGTGAATTTATTCGTGTCGCCATGCGAAAATGTACCCAAAAACTAACGGCCGTAGAAAAATTATAGTATGCAGCATGTTCGGTAAACTTTTTAAGTCACTCGCTCCGCTGCGCTGCGCTCGTGTCAAATACACCCGTACACAAAATTTTATGCAAATTATTTGTTCCATTTTTTTTTTTTGAGAGCAGATAATAAACGTGCACACTGGCTGAAACTGTGAACACATGTAAGCGACATGCGTACCAACATAACAAAAAAGAATACCGAAGTTCGAATGTTCGTCCGCAATAAACAAAAAGACAGGACGAAAAATATCAACTACGCTCAAAAAGCATGAAAGAGCCTTAAGACTACGTAACGAAGAACGGTAAAAAGAAACAATCAAACAATCAAAGTGTTCGTTGGGACGCTCTGTAGGTCTCTTGTATGAGTTTTTATAACATTATTTGTGATGATTAAGGGTAATTTTGCTTCAACTCCCTTTTATACTCAATTGCTATGTGTCGAGTGTTTTTGGATTTATGGCCATTTTTTCGTCAAAATTTGACTGTGTTTTGTGTGTTTTATTTTATTTAAAACAGGTTTGGTTACTCACATATTTATGAATAATTCTCTTCAAATTGAAATTAATCTATACGTTTTATACGTATAGATAGACATTTTCTAAAAGAAATTTGGACACCTTGTATAGTTTCTAACATAAATAGGTTCATAATTTGACGTAGCTGATAAAAACAAATAAATGAGTTTCCGTATTTTATTAGATACATATTTTATTTGTTCCTGCCACCTCAATTCGAAGTCTATCATGACACTAAGATACTTACCAAGCTTTTCCTTTGGCAATAAGACTGAAAGAAGCCGACTTCGTAGGTCTAATAACAATCCTGCAGATAATAGTTTTTAACTTCGATAATCTGTTTTACTAAAAGAGCTGTTTAAGTTTAAAATTTGAATGGTTTTAAACTCTTTTTTTTTTTAATTGTTTTTCAGAATTGCAATTGCCTTTTCGTTAATGATGACAAAATGTTCAGGATTAGTTCGCAATTTTTCTACACTTTAAAAATATGAACTGAATTTTGATAGCTTAGCTCAACATGTTAAAAAACACCCCGTATTCTGCATTTTGCACATAATCAATAAAAGTACCTTTTTAGTTTTCTTTGAGTTTTTATTTTTATTTTATTTGTGTTTTCACAGATTTGATAGTCAAACCGAAATAATTTTACAATTGCGATTGGTAGGCCACACACATTACATTACGTTCAAGAATTTTATTGCGACTATTTGTTTGCTTAAATTATTGTTTAGAAATTAATTACTTACATTCTTAACAGCGTTATGTATTCGTAAACATTAATCATTTTAGCGAAATGATATCAATCAAATTAAATAAAGGATCGCTGGACCTAGTGTAAGAAATTTTTAACAATTCCAGGGTTTTTTTGATAAATATACATCTTTTACTGACCGATGAATTAATTTTTATGTTTTTTAAAAGTCATAGTAGTGATTTTATGAAGTGATCCTTGAATCAAACTATTCAAAAAAAGTTACTTACTTAATACTTTATTCCAAGTATTGTGGAAGACCTCACCCTCAATGTATAGGCAGTTGTATCTACTGGAGTGGCGAGGGGTAGCGTGGAAGGATATCACAGGAATTCAAGAGTAATATTCAAATAATTTGACTCTTAAACTTAGAGCTATTCTAGATTCATTCTCACAGAAAATAAATATATATATTTAAGATTATCGGAGTCGGTTTAAATATTATATGGCGAAAACTTTCACGTAGTCCACAATCAGATCGGAACTTCCCTCCTGAATGTTCCAAGTGGGGCCCCATTGGTTCTTGGCGTTCCAAAAATCGGTGGCGGACGTGGGAGACATGTTGGACCAAGGTTTTCCGCCCGGATTGGTGGCCCTCTCGTCCAAACTACCGCCCACAGCAAGGTTAATGATCAGGAAGAATTCTTGGTCGAAGGGTGCCATTTTGGACCCCGATCCCCAAGGATTATCCAGGTTGATATTTTGAAAGTTGCCGTAATTCCAAAAGTTATCTAATTAATAGAAATTTTAATAATTGCACTATACTACACATTGTTATTTCAGGGTTTCTTTCTTATCTTCACTTTGCGTTGCTGATGAATTTGTAGAAAATTTTGACAAAATAAATAAGAACTAAAAGTTCAGATTTTCACGAAATTATATATATTCACATGACAAATGTTTCGAAAACACCCTGTATTTCGCAAATTGTAACAAATAAATACCCTCACCACCATCTATCCGGCCATAAACGAATTAGTCGTCGACCAGAGCGCCTCATTGAAGTAGATGGGTACGGTCCCGCTAGAGTGAGCCACAGGGGACCAACAAAAAGTAACAAGAGAGGGGCCCGCAGTGGAAGACGACAAGATGGGCGCTGGCGACATTAATACGTGTGACATGCTAAATTACGTTTTGATATTGGCACCCACTTCATTTTGAATAGTAAATTGATTAAGTTCGATTTCGTGTTTAATTACACTCGTCGGATTAACTGTTGCTACAAAATGTAATAATTACACACTACCTGCTGCTATATATACCGAAAAATAACAATACAAACCTTGATTAATGTTGTGAGATTTTAAGTTTAATAATGGATAGGTATTTAAATCTAATTGATCGTTAAGCAATACATTTGAATGTCTTATTTTGTTAATCTTTAATAATAAAATCAAAACTTGTTAAGCATACTTTGGTGGAGACTTAAGTCAACAATTTCGACTTATTCTTTAAAAATTTGCCTAACTAACCTAATACCTATATATATATATATATATATATATATATATATATATATATATATATATATATATATATATATATATATATATATATATATATATTGATAAACGTACTCTACAACTTCCAAAATACATACTCAATTAACGATGTGACTTCATCTACAACGTGGAGACTTCCGATTTCGGAAGTCATAACGATTCCTATGTAAAACTTTGCCAGTATGATCTTGAGGGCCTTAGCAACGTTCCTGCAAAATTTTCTAATGAAGTCCCAAGGTCGACCATTTATCCGTACATTATCAATTTTAGTTCAGGCGTAGATCGTTGGCGCTCGCATCGCAATTCGCAATGTAATCTTGGTATGTCTGTCGCATGTATTGACTTCCCTTTGAATCTCCGCCGTAAATCATACGTTAGGACTTCACAGTATGTTCAGTTGTAGTACTTTATGGCTTCCCACGAGGTAGTAAAATGGCAACGTAGCATTTTTTGCGTAGTTCAAGGCCGTTATTTTAGGCGCACAATATATTGAAAAGGATTCATTTCGACCGTATTTGCGGCGTATTTGCGGGTAACGAACGAAATTTTGTGACTTCCCTTAAAAATGAATGGAGTACTAAATTAATGCCTTCTCTGGTTTTGGATAAAAACAAGAAAATGTTCAAAAAGATATGATGAAAATATGATAAACGCAATCTGAATATGGGCAGTTGAATTATTTTTCTGTCTTTAAGAATAATAAAGGATTTTTATTATAGAAAATAAACAAATATAATTTTGAAAAATTTTCTTCCGCTTGTTCGCCTTGACAAGTTTATTTATACACAAAAGCTGCTTACGCACATTAACTTCAATAAAATAAATGAATTAAAAGGAAAACATAAAATAAAAAGTAAGAAGCCTGAAATATCGTAGATTTGGCGAGATCAATTAAATAGGTAAATGGTGATAAAGGTTATTTTCAGACATTGTTTATGTGTATTGGTTCATTTTCAGTTCTTAATTTATACTAGAGTTTAAATATATTACTGCTCTTTTTTTTTTAATTAAATAATTTTTTTAAAAATAAATTCATTTTTTGATTGTAGTATTTTAGCCGGAAATTTATGAACAATTTTTGAATAGTTCAAAATAGTGATATAATATAGCCCGAAAACGACGGTTTGACGTATATACATCTATGCTAAAATGCAGTCTTTGTTGCAAATACTTTGGTATATGATTTTTTATAATTATGAAAAATAAGGTCGCAGACTGTATATATCGTGTAAGATGTTGGGATACCTTATGTTAGTGTTAGGCAATAGTTTAAACACTGCGTCACAGCGTATTACTTGTCAGGACGACTGAAAGCTCACATGAATTTTTTCTTACTGAATTTGTTGCTTTATGAATTTTTTCAGGATTTTGGGCAGAGTGGGCAAAATGTTTAGTGGAGTTAATTAAAAGAGTCTGGTTTGTTTACTTTATTTAATAAACTCTGGAACTGAACATGAAGATAAGATAAGGACAATTTAAAATAATTTAAGTGAAAAACACGAAACCTAAGAACCATTTAATATTTTTATTGGAATTTTATTTATTATTCATAAATTATAGTTATTTTAATAAACAGAACGCAATAAGTATTCGATTACAAAATATCCTGAATACTTCTTATACACCGAACGTCAGTTTTCTTACTGAATGGCAACTATTCACTAACCCTATAAGATTGATGGGAGCAAACGTTTCCCGAGTGACTTCCTCTAATTGTGATTTGGTTTAGAAAATTCTTTAATGTAAGATCTGTAAATATCCCCCATAAAAAAACTAGAGGAGTTAGCATCACACAATTTCGCAGGCCACTAGTTCCAATCCAACATTATCCAAATACTTCATTTAAGAATTAATGCTTGGATTTTGCAATAGTTCTGCAATCATATGCAATTCCCGGATTTTCTCTTCCTCATTTAAGTCGTTTTGATTTTGCCTTGCCTCCTTGTCGGGTTGTTGCTGCCCCTTATATTTATCGAAATAAAGTTCATTAACTGCCTCTGCGTTCAGTTTTTCCATTAAAATTATGTGACACAAAATTCAATAAAGCATAAAATTTATGCCCTTAACCGACAGCGACACAATACATTAATACACAAAAAGAATGCCCTATATTTCAGGCCTGTGATTGCCATATAAAATAAGGAAGTTGAATTCATTAATGACAAAACGAAGAACTGTAAAAAAAAATCTGAATACGCTACTGCATTTGCCTTAAAAAAAAAAAAAAATGTTTTTATCTGGATCAAAGCTGCTAACACTAAAAGAAAAGAAAGAGAAACTTCCAATTATATGTAATTTGTCAATAAGGCGGAAAGCTCATAACGTCAAAACAAATATCCAAACAAAAATTTATTGAATGTGCAAAAATATGCATGAACATCTGTTAAGGCAACGATCCTAATGCTCTACATATTTTTTTGAAATTTAATGATATAAGGGAACAAGTTTGCAATGACATAAAAACTGTTACAAAACCTATATGAGTTTTAAAATGCGTATTTTACCAGAAACGTTTAAAAAATAAAAAGCTCTGACAAGTCATGACTAATATGGAAAAACTAACCAAAACTCGATGAAATACGAAATTAAATGCTTCATGCTATTTGACAGAATGACGTAAAACAATAAATAAACTCGCACATAGGGATTTTTGGTTAAAAAAGGTAAAGGCAAGTTTGTTGATCGCATTAGTGGATTCTCTAAGAAGAAATCTGTACATAGAAGAACTTAGAATTTTTTTGAAACGGTTTTCCAAGGAGCAAGTTATTGAAGCAGTGCATCATACTAAGACGCAAACGTCCAACTATTTATCCTATGCTTCGTCAGCAATAACGAAGATTTGCCAAAATATTAAAATGGAAATAAATGGCATAATTTAAATTTAAAAATTTGAAAATAAGGGATTACAAAAAGCATATTCCAAATAATTTATATTTTTTAACAAGTCTTTTTGTCTCCATCGAAATATGTAATGCCAGGAAAGAAACGGAAATACTTAATATTTGTCAAGATGATGAGTTTAAATGAAAAAAATATACCCCTGAACTTATTGGTTTGGGAATGTTAGCCTATCAGGAGACCAAGTCAAAAAAACTGGTTGAAAGCAGCCACGCTTGTTGTCACACAGTATCTTACACGGATATTCTGAGCGTCGCTCAAGAAGAAATTCAACTTGATTTAGAAAGCGATTACGTAACTCTCTCTTGACAAATAGTATCCGATAGATTTGTACAGTTTCTAAAATATATCTGCAGTTTGCAGATATATTTTAGAAACTTTGGACAAAGCCCCCACATTTCACGAAACACAAATTTCAATAAATGAAACTATACCTAATGAGTTCCGTTCAAATAAAAAAATTCAAATTCAATGAAAAATTTCACATGTACTGATAACCGAAGCAATATTACAAGAGCATACATCAGTTCTAAGCACCTGTCAATATAAAAAAAGGTATAGAGACATTCAATTTTCTGTCAAATAAGATTTTTTAATTTAGACACAACATTTTAAGCGTAACGGGCCATTGTGTTCCTGTAAAAGAAAATTTATGAAATATTTCTGTAAATGTGCAAAATCAATATGTAGCAATAAGAGAGACAAAAATGATTCCTGACCAACACGAAGGATTTTTTTTTTAGATTAACTTTTTACTTCTACTTAATTTTAGGAGTTGTTATAGATATAATTTTAATTTTTATTCTAGCTTCTATGCACACTTATGTATTATTGGTTTAATATGCAATGTTGCCAATAAAATTTAATACAAATAATTAGTAATCTCAAAAGTAATAATGAGGGCAAATACGTACCACTCACATTCGCTACGAAAGAGGGTCTACAAGCAAAAACGATCTTAAGAGCCGCCGTAATCGCTAAGTCGTTTGTTTATTGCCTGACCGTCATTACAAATTTGACCCTCTCTCGTTGCTTCGCTGGCGGCCGTGATATTAACGAGATGGCTTTATATTTTGCTAATTATAAATATACGTTCCATCCGATTGGAGTTTTTGCAAAAGTAACTGATTCGTTGATCTTCAATGCGTATGATTTATAAAAAGCATTTTTTTGATAAACCAAATAGTTTTCAAGTTACAGCGAGGTAAACGATAACATAAAAATGAGTTTTCAGGGCAAGCGTTTATTCCTTAAAGAAGAAATATAAATATAAAAATATTGAAAAGTTTTGTCAGTTTAATGGCTGTATGTTGTAGAAAACAACAACATAA